GACAACATCCACTGCTGTACCCTAAATAATTACGTCCGTCACTTCCTCGAAAAATTTAATCAAGTTAGTAAGACGTGACCTGCTATGCACCAAGCCATGCTGATTGTCCCTAATTAGGCCATGCTTTTCCAAATGCATGGAAATCCAGTCCCTAAGAGTTCTCTCCAATAGCTTCCCAACAACCGTTGTGAGACTCGCCAGTCTATAATTTCCTGAATTATCCCTATTTCCCTTCTTGAACAGAGGAACAACATGAGCTACTAGCCAGTCCTTCAGGACCTTTCCAGTAGCTAGTGAGGATACAAAGATCTTGGTCAAGGCTTCAGTAATCTCCTGTCTTGCCTCTCAATAACCTGGCGTAGATACCATCAGCCCTGGGGACTTAGCCACCTTAGTGCTCATCAAGAGACCCAACATCATTTCTTTTTTGATATCAAAATTCCCTAGCATGTCAGCATGCTCCACATTGATCTCACTATCCTGGGTTAGTATATCCTGGTTTAATACAGATGCAAAGTATTCATTTAGGATCTCGCCCACATCTTCTGCCTCTAAGCACAAGTTGTCTTCTTTATCCTTGTGTGGTCCTTCCTTCTCCCTAGTTATCCTCTTGTTTTTAATGTATGTATAGAATGCTTTGGGATTCTCTTTAACCCGACTTGCCAAGGTAATTTCATGCCCCTTCTTGCTGTCCTAATTCCTTCCTTGTGTCTTTTCCTGCTATCTTTTTATTCCTCTCAGACACTATCTGATTTTCGGTTCCATGCTTCTTTCTCCCTTTTTGATCGAATTCACCGCCCCCCCCCCCCCCCCCCCCCCCCCCCCCCCCCCCCACACACACACACACACACACACACGGGTCCCTTACCTCACCATCCTTGTCCTTCCTTCTTGCTGGAACATGCCGGTCCTGACCTCTGATCAGCAGGTCTTTAAACGACTTCCACGTGTCAAATGTGGACTTGTCCAAGAACGGCTCCTTCCAATTAACACTTCCTAGTTCCTACCTAATATTGACGTAATTTCCCCTCCCCTAATTTAATACCTTCCTTCAATGTCCTGACTTATCCTTATTCATTGCTATGTTAAAACCTAAGGAGTTGTGATCACTATTTCCAAAGTGCTCTCCCACTGAAAGGTCAGTCACCTAGCCAGGCTCATTAGCCAATATAAGGTCCGGTATGGCCCCTCCTTTAGTTGGACTGTCCACATATTATTTCAAGAAACCCCCTTGGATGCCCTTAACAAATTCTGCCCTGTCTAAGTTTCTTGCTCTAAGAGAGTCACAGTCAATACTGGAGTAAAGTCACCCTGTTGTTATTGCATCTTTCTAGAATCTGCCTACATATTTGTTACTCAATGTCTCAGTGATTATAGCCCCACCCCCCCCTTCCCAAATAGTATAATCCTATCAGAATGATTGCACCCATATAATCTTTGAGCTCTACCCATATTGCCTTAGTGGATGAGCCCCCCAACTATGAGTGCAAGTGTGACGTTCTTCCTGATCAGTAATGCAACTCCTCCACACTTTTACCTTCCTATCTCATCTAAAACAATGAAACCCTGGCAAGTTGATGAGCCAATCCTGTCCCCCTCTCAATTGAGTCTTTATAACAGCCACATCATAGAGCCTGGATCAGTACATGGGGCTAAGCTCATCTGCCTTGCCTATAATATGCCTTGAGTTCCCTATCAGCCTGTCCTTCTGACTTACTGGCCCTAACATCTATCTTCCCCTCAATCCTTCCACTTGCTGACCTGCTGCTCTGGTTCCCAGCCACCTGCCATTCTAGTTTAAACCCTCTTGAGTGAGTATTGGTGAGTAAATTGTTAAATATTGGTGATTCTGAAGGATTTGGGTGTCCTTGTACATGAAACAAAAAGTTAACATTAGTACAGTATTCAATTGAGAAGGTAAATGGTATTCCTGTCCTTCGTTACATGTTGGAGTACAAGAGTAAAGGAGTTTGCTGCAATAAAATGAGGGTTTTGTGAGAGCATGCCTGGGATTTCTTGTACAATTTTGGTGTCTGAATTTCAGAAAGGATATACTTGCTTTAGAAGAGGTGCAATGAAGATTACTGGAATGGCAGGATTGATTTATGGGGAGAGATTGAGTATAGAGGGTCTGTACTCTAGAATTTGAATGATAAGCAAATTTTATTGAAGTGTAAGATTTTGAAACAGCTTAACAAGGTAGATATTGAGATATTGTTTTACCCTGGCTGAAATGTCTGGAACAGTTAGTCTCAGGATAAGGAAATTGCCATTTCAGATTAAGATGAAGAGAGATTTCACTGCATGTCATAAATCTTTGGAATTTTTTTATAGAATTTTTTTTATAGAATCCCTACAGTGCAGAAACAGGCCATTCAGCCCAACAAGTCCACACAGCCTCTCTGAAGAGCATCCCACCCTGACTCGTTCTCCTACCTTGGCATTTCCCCATGTCTAACCCACATAACCTAAACATCCCTGGACACTACGGGCAATTTAGCATGGCCAATCCACCTACCTTGCACATCTTTGGACTGTGGGAGGAAACCGGAGCGCCCTGAGGAAACCCACATAGACACGGGGAGAATGTGCAAACTCCACACAGACAGTTGCCCGAAGGTGGAATTGAACCCGGGTCCCTGGCGCTGTGAGGCAGCAGTGCTAGCCACCGTGCCGCCCTTTATCCCAAAATCTCTGGGTGACCCATTAATGACTATATTCAAGGCTGAGCTGAATATTCTGACAGAATCCAGGAATGTGAGGCCAAGGATCGGCAATGAACTTATTTAATAAAACAATAGCTCAAGACCTACATACCGCCTCCTTTTGTTACTATTATGTTTTAATGCCTTGGGTCAGTTAGTCATGCAGCCAGTTTGTTCAATTGTGAGTGAATCTTCAGTAACAGCCCAGCTGTGGCACAACCATATTTCTGTTTATTGACAAACTCCAAGCATGGTGGTCTTTATGGCCATCTGGACAGCCCTCAGGTTGTGTCCCAAACTCTGCCTAACCACAGCCTTATTTCAGTTAATGTCTCACCTGAAAGATGTCATTCCTGACAAGACTGTCTCCATTGCATTGAAATGCCACTTAGATTATGTGCCCAAATCCTCAGGATTTTTTTTACCTTACCAGAATGAGCTCATTCCATCACCATTGCCCTCCTGTAGAGCTTGAACCTACAGAATATGCACTAAATATCTGGCTTGGGCAGATAAGTAGTAAGTAGCATCACCGGTGCAAGGCAATGACTATCTCTGACAAGGGTAAGTTTCAGCAGTAATGGCTCAGCCTTCAGCCTTCAGCCTTCCGCCATCCTGGGGATCACGATTCTGACCACAACTGTTGTGGTTACAAGAACAGATCAGAAGTTGCGTACTCTACAATAAATTTTTAAAAAAATCTTCCAACAAAACAAAAGTCAGGAGCATGATGGAATATTGCCAGTTCGAGTTGTGCATCTCTGTTATCTAGAGTATTGAAGTATTCAATGGCCTGAATACTTTGAGACAGTTTTTCACCACCCAAAGCTGAAATCCAAAATATCACATCACAATATATGATGGAATTAGATCCCATTACTAAACTGGATGAGTTCCGAAAGAGGTATGAATGCCTTTTGGATACATTGGTGCTTCCCTTACCCAGCTAAAACTTTAACTGTTACATTATGATAAGCACCATGTTTTGTCTCCTATGGTTCTCTCCTCAGCCTATCATATCATTTTATGTTATCAATTTCATTAAAAAACCTACCATTCAGAAATAAACCTACAGCCTAGTTTGAAACTGAGCTGCCTAACCTGTGTTAAGACAAAGGAAACACTGCTGAGATTCAATGCTCAACTCGTTGAGCTAACAGATCTGTGCCAGGATCAGATTATTGCTGTAGTGGAATAGTGTAGCCTGCATTCAAACTGTTGTTTTTGGCCTCTCCCAACCTGATTGCAAGATTCTAGAACTGGGCCAATGTTTCCTGACTTAGTAAATGATGGATGGCTGTACTGAGAAATGAAACATTTCTGCACTTCTGTCACCAGATGATGGTCTTGAGCCCTGCAGGTCAGATATGACATATGCAGATGTAAAGTAAAAACTCAGTTGATACATGTGCCTCCTACCATGCCAAATTCAAATCTTCCAACTCCTACAGGCTCAATGCAGAATTATTAACTCCTGTGGTATTTCTGCCTAGGGATTGGATTGTCTTGATTGCAAACATATTTTGTGTCGGATTCTTGTAGCCAGCGGAGAAAAACTGATCATCTGATCACTGAGAGATAGATTGGAATGCAGAAGCAGATTTGAAATAAGTATTTGTTTTTCCTCAAAAATAAACTTGCATTTATGGAAAACTGGTGACAGTGTAGTATTGTATGAAATGGTGTGAGAGTTTAAAACTTCTTTTATTTCTTTGCTTCTGACCATAGAATGGGAGTGAATTTGTAGACGTGTGCAGGCATACTTGCAATGGATGAATGTAAAGATGTTATTTGAGTAGTGTGACCTTCTTGAATAAAAATTAGGCAGAAGCAGGTGACTTCTGAAAACTGCATTTCTTTGAAATCAAATGCAGAAACTGGATCTCGCTACCAGCTATTTTGTACACTAATAAATCTGCATTTGCAATGGGTACTGGATTTCCCAAGTAGTTCTACCTTTGTAAGGGTCACCAGAGTTTCTATTTCTGTAAGGCACATGTTTTCCATTCCCAACTCATATCTTGAAGTGCTTTTTACGTAGACATTCCTAAAATTGGCTTTAACTCCAACTTTGTTAACAGTTTAATGGGAGGTGGAGGGGAGGCGTTGGTCAATAATTAATTGTACAGCTAAAAATATAGTAGTCACTAAACAATAAAAATCGGTAGCATTTAAAAGTATTTAGTATAACTTAATAGATTTTAAATGTTTTGATTCTTTGGTATGTGGTGAATGTTCAAACCAATTTGCACTTTGAATAATCAATTTTTTTTACTTTCTCCTCTTTACCCTCAGACAGTTGGCATTGAAGGCTTTGAATGAACGGCTGAAACGTGTTGAAGATCAAGTAGCTTGGCCTAGTATGGATGAAGATGACAAAGAAGACTTATCTGATACGCCTTTACTTCCAGAGAGGAGCAAAAACGATGGAGATGATTCTGGAGCAGCAGAACACATTGCATTCCAAGGTCTTTCATCAGGATCTTAAGAGACCATCAATAGATGTATTGTCTAATTGAGTGAAATCAGCTTTACTGCTGCAGATACCATCAAAATGCATCAGTACTTCAAACTGTTTAACTGCAGCACTTCAATTTGTTTGGAAAATAAGTGCAGCATAAAATAAAAGATTATAAAGGCCTGTGCAACTGTGGTGCTCATAGCCCAACTTCAGCAGGATTTAATGTTTCTTTAACGCAAGGTGGTGGCTATAATTATTAGAGGAGGCATTTGAACTGGTGATGAATTAGATGCAGTTTTTGTGTTAGTTCAGAAAATTCATTAATTTGCAGTCATTTTTTGAAGTGTCCTTTTTGAATAGAGCAATTAATTAACATAATTGAAATGTAAAGGAAGCTCAGCAAGGGAAAGTATGCTACCACTGAAATCAGATCAAAAAGAACAGTCTGAAGATACATCTTGGCTCTCAAGTTGTCCTTTTTCGGATAAAGTGCCAAAAAGAGAATTATTTTACTTTGTGAGACCGTACCATCGGTGGGATATTGAAAATTGGCACCAGTGAATCCTTTTCAGTAGTTTTCTATATCTGGAGATTTGTTATTGTGTCTGAACTTACCACATAATCATATAATGAACTCACCTTTTGCAAATATTTTTCTTTTCACTAACATCCTACCATCATGTGTCTAAAAGATTAGTAACAATCCAAATTACATATGATTGTAAGAATGAACCGAATCCAAAATTCGATCATGTTGGGTAATTTGATGTCCCTTAGTACTTCCCTCCAAGGTCCCTTATTAATTTGTTCCTTCCATCAAATGTGTAAATATTATGATTACTCCATAAAAGTTGCTTCAATTAGATTGATGAGTTTTGATAGAGAAAGAGAGCAAAAATAGGCCTCTTCTTCCAGTTCAGCATTGGACAGGTTTGGAAGATTGCCTTCTCAAAAGGCTGACGAATTACTGGTGCTGGTCCTGAATCTTTGCGTAAAAGCTGTAAATGCAATTTCTACATATGTACTTGGAGTTAACTGATTTGGGTATATGGTGTTTTGTATCCTGTATAATTGTAAAAGGAACAGTGAAGACTTGTGAAAATATTCACTTCAAACAACCACTGATTTCCTTATAAGCTGCTTGGCTTGTTTTCTTTTGTGAAATATATAGATAGAGGAGGCCTATTCTATATTTCTGTCCTTAGCTGCTACCACATATTGCAATAATCCAGAGTTTCTGCCCAAGCCCAGCCTTGTTCAAATATTTGACTCAAATGGCAAAGAGAAATTGGATAAATTTCCGTAACCCATCTATAATTGGACATTGTTACTGAACTCTATGAAATGAGTTAAGAAATAAGTACAACAATTGTCTTGGTGTTTTTTGAAAGTCCCATTTAAAGGTGTGGGTAAAGCTAACTCCTATTCTTTCCAATGAGCAATTTCTCCAGGGTGATTGATGTCAGACAGTGCTGACTGTGGTTCGCATTTTGCATATTTCTGCTGTACAGACACCTTTCTAGTTTTGTCTCAGAGTTTGATAATCATTATGGTAAACATAAAGTGGATATCATTTTTAATGCATTTAACTATACAAGATACTTTAATGTAAGATTATTTTAAAAAAAAAACACAAGTATTAGTTGCATCTAAGTGATTTAATGTTACCTTGATTATCTGTGGGTGAAGTGTCATTGTCTTAATGCTGTGCTGTGTATCTTGCCAGAATAGCATTTACCAACAGACTAATCTCTTTTACTGGGCTTCATTTAAATTGTAGGTTTCTTTTTGATTCTCCCTATGTATCATAGTTGCGCAGGTCAGTACAATAAACTTTGCAGTCTTGTGTTCACTTCTCATAACCCCAAAAAAAGGGTTTGTTTCAGGTGCATTGATCAACCAGGTAATTTTTTTGTTTTTTTTCTTGTACTGGCAATCATGGGGAATAGTTAGTAGTAGGACCAATAATGCAGAAAAAGTGAATTCAAATCCCACCAAGACAGTTTATGAATTTGAATTAGTTTTTCTTTAATTTGGCAGGAGAAGAAAGTTGTTTATCAGTGAAATATTATAAAAGTAATCTGTGAAGATGTCAGATTGTCATAAAACCTCAATTGATTCACAGATACTTTTTCGGGAAGGAAATCTGCCATCTTTATCTATTCTAACCCATATGTAACTCCAATTCTACACCTCTAGTTGACAACTGCTGTCTGAAGCGAACTCACAAGTCACTCAAACTGCTATAATATAGCATTAAAAAAAGGCCACTGCCACAACCATAGGACAACAAAGGGTGGTGAAACAAATGCTTGTCTTGCCAGCAATATCAACAACTTTAGGACAATTTTTAAAAAATTAACCTTGTATTAAAAAACCCTAAAGTTACTTTAATTAATATAAAAAGACAAGCAAAAACAAACAATTCAGAATTCAAGATAGCAGAAGAATGAAGAGTCATACCCTATGCCAATCATCTGGATGGGGGCACATCATCACCCTGTAGGAGTTGGTCTTGAATTAGCTTCATTTTATATAGAGCCTGTTCAATGCCTTAATTTGGGCTGGGTAGGTTTGACCACCAAAATGAGGAGATTGTCATAGTATGAGGAGGTCAAAAAAGGAAATGTCATATATAATTTATATTTCATGACTTGCTCATCACATTGAATTCATGGAAGTTTGATCTAGTACAGTTTTGTTTGTGCTTATAGGTTATCCTGTTGAGAGATTTCATTCCATTTAAACAATTGTGGCAGAGAGGTGAGAAACAGAGCAGGAGGTGAGCATGTGGAGTGATTGAGGAGATAGTCAATGTTGAGTTCAGATAGTTTAATAGGAAGAAGTGACAGGACCAGGTTAGTATTTAGCTTAGAGTCTGGATTAGTACATGGGACAATGATGTTGTAGTCATCACCAAAGCTTGGTTGAGAAAGGCAGGACTCGCAGCAGAACATTCCAGGGTTTAGATACTTTTGTGTGCGATAGAGAGGTGTGTGAAAGGTGTGGGGGGAGTTGCATTACTCTTTAAGGAGAATGTCACAACTATGACAAAATGAGGTCATCTTGGAGGGCTCATCCACCAATGCTGTGTGGGTAGAATTTAGGAATAAGAAAGGTGCGATCACTCTGATGGGGTTATACCTTCGGCCTTCCAATAGCCATCAGGAGATAGAGAAACAGATATGTAAGCAGATCGTGGAAAGATTTAAAAACAAGAAGGTCGTGGTATTGGGTGATTTTAACTTCCCCAATATTGACTGGGACTCCCTTAGTGCCAGGGATTTAAGATGAATGACAGGAGATATTGAATGTGTAGTCAAAAAGAAAAAGGAAGCATATTTACAGTTTAGGAAACTGAAATCAAACAAGGCCTTTGTGTATAAGGGAAGCAGAAAAGAATTTAAAAAGAAATTAGGAGGGCTAGAAGGGACCATGAAATGTCGTTGGCAAGTATGATTAAGGAGAAGGCATTTTATATGTATATTAGGAGCAAGAGGGTAGCTAGGGCAAGGGTAAGTCACTCCAGGATAAAGAAGGGAATTTATGCAGGAATTTAGATGAAGTGGGTGAGGTCCTTAATGAGTACTTTGCATTCATTTTCACCAAGAAGAAGGACATGGATGTTTGTAAGATTAGGGAAGGGCATGTTGATATTCTGCGGCATGTCAATATTAAGGAGGTGGTGATGGGTGTCTTGAAATCATTAAGGTAGATATGTACCTAGGGCCTGATGAGATCTATCCAGGATACTGAAGAAGGCAAATGAGATGGCTGGGTCCTTGACAGACATCTTTACATCCTCTTCAGCTGCAGATGAGGTCCCAGAAGACTCGAGGATAGCCAATGTTGTTCCTTTTTTTTTTAGAAGAGCAACGGGGATAATCCAGGAAATTATAGCCCAGTGAGCCTTGCAACAGTAGTAAGGAAATCATTGGAGAAGATTCTTAGGGACAGGATTTACTCACATTTAGAGAAGAATGGACTTAATGGGGATAGCCAGCATAGCTTATGCAGGGAGAGGTCTTGTCTCTCAAACTTTTAAGCTTCTTGAGGAAATAACAAAAGTAATCGAGGGTAGGGCAGTGGATTTTGTCTACATGGACTTTGAGAAGGTAGACTGATCCAGAAGATTAAGTCACATGTCTTCCATGATGAGTTGGCAAGTTGGATACAGAACTGGCATCATCATAGAAAGATGGAGGAGATAGCTGTGGAGGGATGGTTTTCTGACTGTGACCAGTGGTGTTTCACAAGGATTAGTGCTGGGACCTCTGTTGTTTGTAATATATGTAAATAATTTGAATGAAAATGCAAAGGTCTGATCAATAAGTTTGCAAACTTATTGATGAAACACAAATTGGAGGATGGGTATGAAAGGACACAACTGGATATAGACCAGTTGGAAAGTTGTGCAGAGAAATAGCAGATAGAGTTTAATCCCAACAAGAGTGAGGTGATGCATTTTGGGAGGTCAGATGCAAGAGGAAAATATACAGAAAATAGCAGGATTCTTAGGAGCATTAATATGCAGAGGGATCTTGGGGTGCAAGTCCATGGCTCCCTGAAAGTGGCAATATAGCTGGATATGGTGATAAAGACGATGTATGACATGCTTGCCTTCATCGGTCAGGGAATTGAGTATAAAAGTTGTTGTCATGTTGCAGCTGTATCAAATTTCAATTAAGGTACATTTGGAATATTGTATGCTGTTCTGGTCACCACACTACAGGAAGGATGTGGAGACTTTGGAGAAAGTGCACAAGAGGTTTACCAGGAATGTTTTATCCCCCTGCGCTCCTGCCTTAATGAATTACAGGCATGACATGATGTTGAACGCTTTTTCCTTCATATCCATGTCCATTTCTTTGGACAAAAAGCCTCTCTTCATCCTACAGACGTCTTTACCTGCCTCCAACACTCTCCCTCCCTCTGGCCTTTACCTGCACTCAACCTGTTCATCAAGAACTGCCAATGTGATACTGGTCGTGTTGATAATACAAGATAGTGGCAGAATAGAACACTTCAGATGAAGCTCATCCATTTCCTTCCTTTCTTCTTTTTTTCCTTCTCCTGGCTGCAGACTTCCAGCCTTGGACTCAGCAAAGACCCAGCGAAGCGGCATCCTGGCCTGATAGGGCAGACTCTCAGCCCAGCATGGACTTCCGGTCTCGGGGTGATTCCTCAAAGTGCAGTCCTGTCATGGCTAAGCACTTAAGGAAAGACTTAAGTCTATAAGCTTTATTTCTTTATTTTCTACTTAAAACTAAGAAGGTGTCACTGTACTATAATCACTGCAATGTTTAACTTTTTTTCTACCTTGTTCTTAAGATTCCATACCTAGGTACTTGTACCTAAGATGGCGCCTTGTGTGGCGACGTTATAAACTTTTCATTGTACTCCTGTACTTTTGTACGTGAGTACACGTGACAATAAAATCAATCAAATTAATTTCTCTGGCTCCCTTTCCCATTCAAACCTATCCCCTTCTGAATTGACTGTAATCCGTGCTTTCAGATCCAACCTTACTTTGTAACCAAGCTTGCTGACAAGGGTGGTACTAGTCTCTGCACTGCAGAGTCAATGTTCCAGCTCTCAGACACTTCCTCCTATCCCCCAGTAGACCATGACTCCACCATTGAACACCAGTGATTTCCAGAATTGGAGGTCAGTGCATCTCCATGCCAATTGCCCTGTATTGACTCAGCTATGTTGCCCTGCAGCTGTGCAGCTTAGATTAAGCATTGCCTGGGAGTAACATCAGCACACTTTCTCAAGTTAGTTGTGACAGTATAACACCTGTACTCCATATATTATGCTGACTGTATGCAAAATGGGAGTCAGGTTACTGGTAGCCTCATTCACAACAGGAATCTAGACTTGTTCCTGTGATGAATGCAGTTAAGGATCAATGGTGGAAAACGTGTAGAGCTTCCTTATTGATGTGCTCCTTGCTTTATAATGATTCTGACCGTGTTAATGATCATGTTATGTTGACTCCATCCTCAGCTAATCACACATAATTTGCAGCAGCTGACTAGGTTTCTCTTCTAACCTTCAAAGCATAGCTGCACCAACTCCTCTAAGATCTTCGTAATTATGCCTGACCATGTGTATTTTCATACTAAATCTCAAATGATTATAGGGAATCTGTGATTTACAAACACTTGATTTACGAATGCTCGTGCTTAACAATGCAATCCCGTATAGGAGTACAATTTTAAAGGCCCGACATACGAGCTTTATGTGTACTTACGAACAGTTGCTTTACATTTGTCCTGTATTGTGTTCCGCTTTGCAGACAGATTAACTTACGAACAGACCAGAATGGAATCCATTTGCAACCCAGGGGATTATGATTACAATGTAATAAACCACATTGTTATCTAAAAGCACTGTAGATATCCAATGCTTGTCTATCCTCCACCACTTAATCACTAGATAGGCTCGAGACAGGAGGATGGTTGGCTACGAACTGCACGAAACATCCCTTTGTAACATGTCCTGGTACAGGAGGCAAATCCACAAGATATCAAAGGTGGTCATCTGGGAAAATTCCAGTCTTCACTGTATAGAGAGGTTACTTGACTGTAGGAGGCAGCATGGTGGCTGAGTGGTTAGCACTATTGCCTCACAGTACCAAGGACACAGGTTTGATTGTAGCGTTGGGTGACTGTGAAGTTTGCACATACTGTGCCTGTGTGGGTTTCCTCCCACAGTCCAAAGATATGCAGGTTTGGTGGATTGACCATGCTAAATTGCCCATAGTGTCAGGGATGTGCAGGCTGGGTGGATTAGCCATGGGAAATGCGGGGTTACAGGGATAGAATAGGCGGTTGGAATGGGATGGGATGGGCTTTGTGGGGTCTGTGCGAACTTGATGGGCCAAAGGGCCTGCTTCCACACTAGGGATTCTTTGATTCAATGAAGTCATGGTGGCCAACATAGTTCCTTTACTAAAATAGCTTCAACTTCTAAGGGAAAAATAAGCACTTGGAATTTTGTTGACCATATTGTCATGGTCTCTTTTAATTAAATCTGTTAAAGTGCCAGCTGTTCTATTAAATTTAGGCACAAATTTACAATAAAATCCACACAACTTCTTAAATCTCATGATTTCCTGATTAGTTTTAGGAACGGAGAATTTGAATAGAGCGTTTTGTTTCACTGCTCTTGGCAACACTTGCCCTTATCTTATGATGTGTCCTAGATAAGTTATCCTCACCACCTCAATTTTACTTTTGATAAGATTTATTACTAAGCCAACTGAAAATAATTGCTTAAACAGGTTCCGCTCTACTTATGTTACATACTGTTTCCAAGAGTTAGTGTATGTTACGACATTGTCATAAGCAGCACGGTGTTTCAGTGGTTAGCACTGCTGCCTCACCACGCCAGGAATCCACGTTGGATTCCATCTCGGACGACTGTCTGCGTGGAACTAGAACAGTACAGGCCCTTCGGCCCATGATGTTGTGCCGACCTATTATCCTACTAAGATCAATCTACCCTGCATACCCTACATTTTACTATCCTCCATGTGCCTATCCAAGAGTCGCTTAAAAGTCTCTAAAGTATCTGATTCTACTACCACTGCCAGCAGCGCATTCCACACGCCCACCACTCTCTGTGTGAAGAACCTACCTCTGACATTTCCCCTATACCTTCCTCCAATCACCTTAAAATTATGCCCCCTCATAATAGTCATTTCCACCCTAGGAAAAAGTCTCTGACTAACCACTCTATCTATGCCTCCCATCATCTTGTAAACCTCTATCAAGTCACTTCTCATCCTTCTTCGCTCCAATGAAAAAAGCCCAGCTCCCTCAATCTTTCCTCATAAGGCCTGTCCTCCAGTCCAGGCAGTATCCTGGTAAATCTCCTTTGCACCCTCTCTAAAGCTTCCACGTCTTTCCTGTAATGAGGTGACCAGAACTGAGCACAATATTCCAAGTGTGGTCTAACCAGAGTTTTATAGAGCTGCAGCATAACCTCATGGCTCTTAAACTCAATTCCCTTGCCAATGAAAGCCAACACACCGTACGCCTTCTTTACAATCCTATCAACTTGGGTCGCAACTTTGAGGGATCTATGGACGTGAACCTCAACATCCCTCTGTTCCTCCACACTGCCGAGAATCCTGCCATTAACCCTGTATTCTGCATTCAAATTCGACCTTCCAAAATGAATCACTTCACACTTTTCTGGGTTGAATTCCATCTGCCACTTCTTTGCCCAGCTCTACATCCTATCAATGTCCCATTGAAACCTACAGCAGCCCTTCACGATGTCCACAACTCCACCAACCTTCGTGTCATGGGCAAACTTACTAACCCACCCTTCCACTTCCTCATCCAAGTCATTTATAAAGATCACAAAGAGCAAAGGTCCCAGAACAGATCCCTTCGGAACACCTCTGGTGACCAAGCTCCAGGCTGAATACTTTCCATCAACTACCACTCTCTGTCTTCTATTGGACAGCCAATTTTGTATCCGGACAGCCAAATTTCCCTGAATCCCATGCCTCCTTACTTTCTGAATGAGCCTACCATGTGGAACCTTATTGAATGTCTTGCTAAAATCTAATATACACCACATCCACTGCCTTACCTTCATCAAAGTATTTTGTCACATCCTCAAAGAATTCAATAACGCTTGTGAGGCATGACCTGCTCCTCACAAAGCCATGCTGACTATTTCTAATCAAACACTGCTTTTCCAAATAATCATAAATACTATCTCTCAGAATCCTCTCCAATAATTTTCCCACCACAGAAGTAAGACTGACTGATCTGTAATTTCCAGGATTATCCCTATTACCTTTTGTGAACATTTGCCACCCTCCAATCTTCTGGTACTACTCCAGTGGACAGTGAGGACGCAAAGATCATTGCCAAAGGGGCAGCAATCTCTTCCCTCGTGTTCCGTAGAAACCTTGGGTATATCCCGTCTGGCCCAGGGGACTTATCTATCCTCATGTTTTTCAAAATTTCTAGCACATCCTCCTTCCTAACAACAACCTGTTCGAGCATATCTGCCTGTTTCATGCTGTCCTCACAAACGTCAAGGTCCCTCTCACTGGTGAATACTGAAGCAAAGTATTCATTAAGGACCTCCCCTACCTCCTCTGACTCCGCACACAAGTTCCCTCCACTATCCCTGATTGGCCCTACCCTCATTCTGGCCATCCTCTTGTTCCTCAATAAGTATAGAAATCCTTGGGGTTTTCCTTGATCCTACCCGCCAAGGTTTTCTCATACCGGCTTCTAGCTCTCCTAAGTCCATTCTTCAGTTCCTTCCTGGCTACCTGTCTGATCCTTGCTTCCTCAACCTTAAGTAAACTTCCTTCTTCCTCTTGACTAAGTGTTCACGTGTCTTGTCATGCAAGGTTCCTTCACCTTACCATCCTTTCCTTGCCTCAGTGGAACAAACTTATCCATTACCTGTAGCAAATGCTCCCTAAACAATCTCCATGTTTCTGTCGTGCATTTCCCTGAGAACATCTGATCCCAGTTGGTGCTCCGTAGTTCTTGCCTAATAGCATTGTAATTCACCCTCCTCCAATTAAATACTTTCCCATACCATCTGCTCCTATCCCTCTCCATGGCTATAGTAAAGGTCAGGGACTTGTGATCACTATCACTGAAATGCTGTCCCACCGAGAGATCTGAAACCTGACTTGGTTCATTGCCAAGCACTAAATCCAATATGGCCTCCCCTCTAGTCGGCCTATCTACATATTGAGTCAGAAATCCTTCCTGGACGCACCTTACAAAATCTGCTCCATCCAAACTATTTGCACTTAGTAGGTTCCAGTCTATATTAGGGAAGTTGAAGTCACCCATGACAACAACCCTATTACTTCTGCACCTTTCCAAAATCTGTCTCCCAATCTGTTCCTCAGTGTCTCTGTTGGGGGGTCTGTAGAAAACTCCCAATAAAGTGACTGCTCCTTTCCTGTTTCTGACTTCCACCCATACTGACTCATTGGAGAAACCCTCCTCCATGACCTCCCTTTCTGCAGCTGTGATACCATCCCTGATTAACAATGCCACTCCCCCACCTCTTTTACCTCCCTCCCTATTTCTTTTGAAACTATACCCCAGAACATCCAACAACCATTCCTGCCCCTGTGTTATCCAAGTCTCAGTAATGGCCACAACATCGCAGTTCCAAGTACTGATCCATGCTCTAAGTTCGATACCCTTATTCCTGACACTTCTTGCAATGAAGTAGACACACCTCAACCTGTCGCACTGACTGCCACTTTGCCCTATCAACTGCTTATCCTTCCTTATAGACTCTCTGCTTGCTCTATCTGTCTGTACACTGGCTACCCCATCCTCTGATCTGTAGCTCTGTTTCCCATCCCCCTGCCAAACCAGTTTAAACCCTCCCAAAGAGCTCTAGCAAACCTCCCGCCCAGGATATTGGTGCCCCTCCAGTTCAGGTACAACCCGTCCTTCCTGTACAGGTCCCACCTTCCCCAGAAGGTATCCCAATGATCCACAAACCTGAAGCCCTCCCTCCTACACAAGCGCTGTAGCCATGTGTTCAGCTGCGCTCTCTCTCTGTTTCTAGCCTCACTAGCCCGTGGCACCAATAGTAATCCTGAGATTACTATCCTACTCGTCCTGGCGTTCATCTTCCATCCTAACTCCCTATAATCACTTTTCAGATCCTCATCCCGCTTCCTACCTATGTCATTGGTACCGATGTGTACCACGACTTCTAGCTGCTCTCCCTCCCCTTCAAGAATCCTGAAGACTCGATCCGAGACATCCCTGACCCTGGCACCCAGGAGGCAACATTCCATCCGGGAGTCTCGCTCGGTACCACAGAATCTCCTGTCTGTTCCCCTAACGAGTGAATCTCCTATCACTATCACTCTCCTATTCTCCCCCCTTTCCTTCTGAGCCACAGAGCCAGGCTCAGTGTCAGAAACCTGGCCGCTATGGCTTTCCCCTGGTAGGTCGTCCCCCCAACAGTGTCCAAAGCAGTTTACTTATTATTGAGGGGAACAGCCACAGGGGATCCCTGCACTGTCTGCCTATTCCTTTTCCCCCGCCTGACAGTCACCCAGCTACCTCTGTCCTGTACCTTGGGTGTGACTCCCTCCTTATAACTCCTCTCTATCATCCCCTCAGCCTCCCGAATGATCTGGAGTTCATCCAGCTCCAGTTCCCTAATGCGATCTGTGAGGAGCTGCAGTTGGGTGCACCTCTTGCAGGTGAAGTCAGAAGGGACACCAGTAGTGACCCTTACCTCCCACATCCTACAAGAGGAGCATGCAACTTCCCTAGCTTCGATTCCCTCTACTCTAGATTTCCAGAAGAATAGAGAAAAAAAACCTTACCTTACCAACCCTCCACACAGTCTTTTTTTTTGGTTA